CTGCTTTCAACACTAACTTTCTCTCACAGAGTATAGGCCAGCTGCTGTAAGGATGTGCCCAGGAAACGTCAAATCCATTTGTTTCCAAAGCTGCAATTCATCCCAACCCACTCCCTCTCCGCCCCCCAATCCCAGGCCTAGCTGAAATGCAGATTTGATATTAAATAAATGGCTCTTTGCCCCTTGTTCCAGTGGCCTAAGGACTTGGGCAAGAGGTGTGTTTGCTGGGAAGATAGGCCATCAGGAATATTCCACAGCGAATGGGTCACCTGAAGTCCTATGAAAGTAAATGAGCCAGGAAATTTACATTTAAGCAGACACAAACAGAGATGTTGACATTCACTTCATTATGACTCAAATACAAATATTCATGTGGGCAGCCAAGATGAAAGCGGTTTTATGCCCGCAGCATGCACTATCTAAAGAAAAAATCATTTGGAGGTTTTAAGGAGAAGAAGCTCATCCTGCTAATGACTTTGTCTTCCAACTCCTAAGGCTGGAAGCTCATCTCCAGACAGGTTGCATCAGGCCGGGTTCCACTTACCTGAGAGGCGACTTTTGAGCTTCATTTTACTGCTGCCCTGTTTGGGACTTTCCAGGTTCCCTCTGCAGTCCTCAGAACCACATGAATCTTGGAGCTCATCTGTCCCAGGGATCTGAAATGCAGAGAACACAGAGCTGATGGGAGAGGCTGGCCTGCAATCCCCTCCGAGAAGTTAGTTCAAGGCTCAGGGAACAGTGATCCAGGTGTCACATGGGAAATAAGGGTCAAAGCGCAGCCCTGCAGATAACCTGGAGCCATGCGGCCTCGTGCTGGCAAGCTCCTCAGCGCGCCCCTCACCGCACAGCACAGAATCAGAGAGGTTTCAACATTTATAGGTCTTTTCATTTCTTGAGGAAACTTGTTGGACTAGGTCACCCATGTGGTCACAATGCCACACCTGCAGCCGAGGTCTCTTGACTTGCAGGCTCGTGCTTTTTCCTACAGTGCAAGTTGCAACAAAAATTAAACCAGAAATTTGAATTCAATTCTAAGGTTCTTAAAATACAGTCAAACTTTTATTTTTCTGGCAGCCAAATAACCACACCCCTCGGGTCAACCATATAGTCCATGTGCTACACTCCTGAGTACTGACTAAACATCTCCCAGAATCAAGCATTGCCCAGGCTACGTGGAGGCGTCCATGTAAAGTCTGCCTCCACATCTGTAAGTTGTTCATCTACACTGCCAGATCCAAAGAGGTGATACAGAAAAGGGAGATTCCAAGGTCCGTTGGGTTCTCTGTCTGAGAAAAGCTAAACATGCTTAAAAAAAAAAAAAAACACCAAAAAAACCCAAACCAAAAAACTATGTTTATTAGAAAGGAGATTTATGCACTGAGTGTTTATAAAAAGTTCGGGGGGTAAATTTATATGTACAAAACTTATGAGATACATCAATGAGCCTCCTCATTTGAAATTTTATTTTTCTTTGCAGTTCTGGAGGAAGTAAAGTCATATTAATTAAAATAGATAAGATCCACGTGAAGGAACATAGATGTGCTTTAAAAAGGCACAGAATATATCCTTTAACACTTAGCAGTGATTGGAAAGTCGTGTAATTATAATGTAAAAAACCCCCTGGATTTTAACAGATAATAAAAATTGTGCATTGTATATTAAATTCAGTATATGAAAATGTATAAATTAAGCAGTGAGCATAATCTCCCAGGTAACCTCCCCTTCTAAGAGGTAATCGCTCATACATAAATCTTATAAGTAATATGTAAGATTTGGAAGATTCCCCTTCACCCTCAAGTTCAAGTATCTTTCTGGATGAAAAACAGGAGAAAAAAAAAAGGATCTGAGAAATGTGGTGCAGAAAAACTGAGGAAGGAGCTATGGGAAAACAAATTAATCCTGATATATAAAACTAAGATAAATTTGGTGAATTCCTATTACAATGTCAGGGATTGGCAGGTCTCCAGGTTTAAATTACGAAGTAAAGGCAAGAATGGAATCCCGAAGATGATTTTAGAGATTCTTGAGAGGGGTGTCTTTCCCAACCCCAAATCATGACATTAATTCATTCATAGTGCTAAAGAACCCTCTTGGCGACATGCCAGGGATCTGGGCATAGAAGGAGACATGCAGATAGAAATAATCCAGAGAGAAGCGTCAGGGCCTCTCCTTTGCTTGGCTTAAAAACTATGGAAAGAACCTGTCTCCAGGCTGTAAACAGCAATTAAGGGAAACTGAGTTAAGTTCCAGGTTCTTTCTGGTTACACCACCTGACCCGGGCTATCAGCCTACAGAGAAAAGTATTCCTCGGGTTTGCAAGTCATTCCCTCCTCTGGTGCCCATTAAGTGGGTGGCTTATTACACAGTGGCCGAGGCCCAAGCCATCAGGAAGGCTGTTTGAGAAGCTCATGTCAAGAGAAGAAAACCATCCCAGACTACTGTTTCTGGACTTACGAAGCTTCCTTTTTCCATTCTCCCATCTATTTTTCTTGCCCTAGGTTTTCAAACAATCAGAAAGTTTGGAGATGACATAAGCACACATAGGAGTAGCTCAGAAGGAAAGTAGCCTGCCCGTTTCTCAGCTCATTACAAGCAAGGCTGTGACTCCTGTTTTCCAACTTCATGTATTACCAGGATATTTCCCCCACTCCATCTTAAGATGCCTTTTTTTTTTTTTTTAGGTGAGTCATCCTGCTACCTATTGGCAGCTTAGCGGCAGCTCAGCTTGGGCCGGGCATCGAACGGCTGTTGCTCAGGGCTCAAACTCTTCAGCGAGCTCTTAACCAACTGAGCCACTCCAGCTTAAGATGCCTTTTAATTAAGTTAATGTTTTGGATGATCAATACTATACTGTACTGTACCATATAGTTCAGTCACCTCAATTTATTTCCACTTAATTTTTACAGCAAACGTGTCCCAAGATAAATCATATTATCTCCATTGGACAGAAGAGGAAATAAAACAGAGACCTTTAAGTTTATAACTGAGAGCTTTTTGTTTATAACATATATCCGGGATCTAGCATAGACTGTGTATGAAGAAAGTGAGAGTACAAAATGNGAGGGCAGTGTCACTGGCCCTCATATGTGGGATCCGAACCGGGGCCCTCTGGCATCCCAAGCGAGTTCTTAACCATCGTGCCACTCGGCAGGCCCTATATGCTATTTTAAAATAAGATAATTTAAGGGACTTTAATCTTAAATGATGGCTTAATTACACTGAATATAGTACCTATAATCACATTATGCTATTTACATTATACACTATATATGTGTGTATATATGCTTGTCTGTGCATATAGCTATAAACTCATACAGATCCTTTGGAATATCAACTTCTCCTAGGCCAAGCAATATTTCATTTGATGACCTAAAATTTCAATTTACCTAAAAATTTCTCAGGAAGTTTTTCATAGAGTAAAACAAGATGATTCTGTACTCTTTGAAAAATAATATATTATTGAGTCTTTAACAGTGATGAAAAGCTAAAATAGGGCTGATACAGTTATATTGAAATGGACATCACTAAAGGCTTAGTTTTTCAAAAGCTAAATATTAACTTTGTGATTCAGGTTTTCAAACACCTGAACTTCCTTTGCAGTCAAAGAAAAATTTCCATTTAAAAAGATCACAAGCCTAAGGCATTAACATGGATAAATCAAAAATACGAAAATTAAAAGGGAACCCTGCTAGCAAAAAAAGAAGGCATGAAGTAATAAAAACTCAGGTTAGAATTTCAGATAAAATGTTCCATGAAATCGCTTTTGTCATTTTGGAGACAGACTGGGCAAAATCGTAGTAGAAATAGCTGGAACTTCTTTACAGAACCTCCTTAATAATTCATGACCAGATTAATCTATCTTGGCATGCTTACTCATCTGAAAAAGATTTATTAGAAGAAAATTCCTTTTGAGCTGACAGCAAGGCACTTGCCATCAACAGAAGAGAAACCACATACGGTAGTGTCTGTAGATAATATACTGATATGTGAATACCAGAGTGACTCACTTTAAGAAAATATGAAATAAATGTCCAAGTTTACAGGACAAATTAAGAACCAATTCCATTAAAATTTTCTGTATTCAAATGTCTTTAGACTGAACATATTTCACAGCACGGAATGTAGACCCAATTCCTTAAGCCTCTTTCACAGGTCTCCCAAATGCTTTTCCAGTCTTATCTCCCACTACCACGCTACATGAATTCATTGCTATAGCCTGCTGATTCTCAAAAGAGAGGATCTGTCCTCCACCCGCATCCTTTCCAAAACTGGGGAGCATATAAATATTACTTGACCGTTTACCCAATTTTGCTGGCACCATCACCTCCTCCCCCAAGCGCCTCCTTTATCCTACTCTCTCTGACGAGCTCTGCTGCACTGCAGCATGGTTACTGCTGGGTTATTGGATCTTTCAGATAGATGAGGAGAAAAAACAGTTGCACAAAACTTCTCTAACCAAAGTTTTCCCCCATGGTCCCAAAGCGTTTCTCATGCATTCTATCCCAAGTCTAGCCCACTCTTTTCCTCCCCTTCTATTCTACCAAATCCTGCCCAGGTGCTGGCCTGGCCCTCCTTGGTCTTGCATCCTCTGACTGTCTCCCAAACGCCACAACCCAGAGACAATGCCAGGCTCCGTGCCTTTCGTGCGTGCCTTATCGTGACCTACAAGTTCTTGAGAATCTTCCTGTCTGAACCCACTGAAGCACTTCCCCTCTTGAGAGGAAAAGAGGAGAGAACAATGAAATAAAAATGACCAGGGTGAGGCGGTGTTAATGACAACAATGGTAATCAGAGTGGCAGCTACCACATGGTGAGGGACTATTGCTACCACACTTCGGAGTGGCAGTGCCATATGCATTCTCTCAACTCCATCTTTCCACAAGGCCTGGCACTTAGAAGGCACTCACATTGATTTGCAGACTAAATGAAGAAACAAAGGCCCAGAGAAGTTAAGTCACTTGTCCCAGGACACACAGCCAATAGTGGCTGAGCTGGGAAGTGAACACAGTTCTACCGGACTTCATGCACGTGCTCTTCCCACTCTTCTGCATCTCCTTGTTATGGCCCTGGATGTCTGGGAAGGATACAGGCAGAGAGGGTGGCATCCATTTATGGTAAACAGTAGCCATCCCTGGATTTAGTACTCAGCTGAGTGTGCTGCACATTCTAAATTAGTACAAACAGGGCTAGAGTCATGGATCTGGGAGGTCCTCAGCTATACCCACCTCCCCATATCTATATCTATTAAGCCCCCCCGATTAGGGAACAGGATTCTTTTCAAGATCCTCAGGAAGTCGAGGGGTGAGTAAGAACTCTGTCTGAGGCAGATCTTTCTGCTGGCACTGAATGAGTGAGACCTGTGGGATTCTCTTAGCTTCTCCAGTCTCATCCATAAAATGAGGAATGTGACTGCACTGGTTTCAAAGGTCCCTCATATTTCCCCAGAGCTTTGTGGCCCTCCCCTAGGAACCGTTTATTAGGTGTTGATCAACTCTGCCAAGACAGCTGACCTAAAAGGTCTCCTCTAGGCCCCTGTGACTTCCAGTCCCAAACACACACAGGAATTAAATGTGTTTCTCTCAGTTGTTCCTTGGGCTGAAGGGGACCTGGTCTTTCTCTCCACATGAGGGCTTTCGGTATGATATCTCTCCTATCA